GTCAATGACTTGCAGATTGCGATTGACAACTACAACCTTTTTAGGTTTGACCGAGGATCTAAAGGAGGTGGAATTGCCATCTATGTTCGTAATACTATTGCATGTTCACTAGCTCACTCCTTGTTTAAAAAAATGTTGCTTTTGTAGTGGATTCGAATTAGGTGCACACACAACTTCTTGGGAGGCAACACTTATTTATTAATGAACACAACAGTTAACTCTTACATTACGCATAGGGTGGTGACCACCGACTTACTCTAGCTAACACACACTTCTCAGATACTCTAGGGAGGTACAGCCTCCTGTCATGGCGGGACTTACACGTCTACCGCGATCCTAGAGTCCTCCGGCTGGGACCTACACACAGGTCTCTTGCTAACCTAAGGAGGTACAGCCTGCTGTCTTGGCGGGACTTACTCACACGTCTACCGCTATCCTAGAGTCCCCCGGCTGGGACCTACACACGGATCGCTTCTTGGCGTCTTACGATGCATCTTAATTCTTGATACGGGCAGCAGCCTCGAACCTCGTGAGGAGGCTGCTTATATGGGCCTCGGCGTGCCTGGGCCCCGCCCCGACCACGCCTTCCTTCGAGAACCCTCTCGAAGCCCCCCTGCTGTCCACGTGCCCCTCGAGGTGCCCCCTAGGCCCCCAGTCCCCACTGGGGTCCAGTCACGTGTCCAGCTGGGACCATAGTCACCAAGAAAACAATTCGTAACACACTACGCCGTGAAGGACTGAAATCCTGCAGCGCCCGCAAGGTCCCCCTGCTCAAAAAAGCACATATACATGACCGTCTGAAGTTTGCCAATGAACATCTGAATGATTCAGAGGACAACTGGGTGAAAGTGTTGTGGTCAGATGAGACCAAAATGGAGCTCTTTGGCATCAACTCAACTCGTCGTGTTTGGAGGAAGAGGAATGCTGCCTATGACCCCAAGAACACCATCCCCACCGTCAAACATGGAGGTGGAAACATTATGCTTTGGGGGTGATTTTCTGCTAAGGGGACAGGACAACTTCACCGCATCAAAGGGACGATGGACGGGGCCATGTACCGTCAAATCTTGGGTGAGAACCTCCTTCCCTCAGCCAGGGCATTGAAAATGGGTCGTGGATGGGTATTCCAATATGACAATGACCCAAAGCACACGGCCAAGGCAACAAAGGAGTGGCTCAGGGAGAAGCACATTAAGGTCCTGGAGTGGCCTAGCCAGTCTCCAGACCTTAATCCCATAGAAAATCTGTGGAGGGAGCTGAAGGTTCGAGTTGCCAAACGTCAGCCTCGAAACCTTAATGACTTGGAGAAGATCTGCAAAGTTGAGTGGGACAAAATCCCTCCTGAGATGTGTGCAAACCTGGTGGCCAACTACAAGAAACGTCTGACCTCTGTGATTGCCAACAAGGATTTTGCCACCAAGTACTAAGTCATGTTTTGCAGAGGGGTCAAATACTCATTTCCCTCATTAAAATGCAAATCAATTTATTACATTTTTGATATGCGTTTTTCTGGATTTTTTTGTTGTTATTCTCTCACTGTTCAAATAAACCTACCATTAAAATTATAGACTGATCATTTCTTTGTCAGTGAGCAAACGTACAAAATCAGCAGGGGATCAAATACTTTTTTTCCCTCACTGTATATGCGCAAATACAAACTGGCCTCAAAAATGCCAAGGGCTGCAAGTGACCTTGATCACTGCTTCGCATTTTTTTCTCATGAGGGTCACTGGAAATGCATTGCATATTCATGTATTGAGCATGCATGACAATTTAAACTCATATAAATTAAAGCTCTGTAGATTTCCGGCTTTAGAAAATTCCTGAAATTCAGTCACTGTACAAGCTACAAGTAGAAGTGTTCACGGCCATATGGCTGTACCAATTGTAAAAAGAAAGCTATGGAAGGAACCGAGTTAAGAAGATAGTGGGATGGGTTTTCTTGAAGGATATGTAATCATCCCGTCTCTCATTCAGCTGTGACCTATTATAAACTGCACACCACGATGGAAAACAAAGCTGTGCTTCAAAACCAAAAAAATAACTGATGCCATGTTTGAAATGTAACTAAAACTATGTTTATTTTACCAGATAAAGCCCACTCAGCTATTAACAATTTTTCAGAGGCGACCTGGCCACAAATGATAGCTCAACGAAGTGGCTTATCATGTGGAAACATATAGCAGGCAAATAATCTATGAAAAGATGTCTTCAAACTGACCACTGAATGTATTTACAAGAAAACAAAATATGATCTCACAGTTACAATTATTGAAAGACATATTTGAAATTGAATATTCTGTGTCTTTGAATATGTTTTGTGCTTCGTGAAAGATTAAGAGTATATATAAGAGTCCAGTGCATTTAATGTGTGTATAGCATTACAATTACTGTATTATAATTCCAATGAATTGCACTTTTACACTTCAATAATCATTAGGTCTCATAAGTGTTGTAGCCAACAAGTCATGCATTCAAAATTGTTAGGGATTAAGTAGTGCTTAGCAGTAAAATTCCAACTATCTGAAGTTCTCTTTCATTAACAATCATCAGGCTTGAATAGCTCCCCTGTGTTTGGCAGAGCCATTCTAGGGAGTAAAAAAGGAATGTTGCACAATCAATAGAAATGGGAGAGATTGATACCAGAGAAGAAAAAAACAGGCTGGTCTTTATTCTTGCCTGAGAATGGCAGAGAGGAGGCATGGGTAAAATGCAAATTTGAACCTAAGGGAATAATTAACCACCAGAGAGCAAACCATTTGCTATTTGGCTCCAAACACCCACTCACATTGCCTTTGGCTACTCCACACTGGGAATAATAAACAGGGTTCTTTTTAATCTAGATTTGAAGTTTTCGTGACTGTAAAGAGTAGGGTTCTTTTTATTCAACTGAAATTGTCAAAGAATTGCTCAGATAACATTTTTTTATATGACTGCTTCTTGTAACTTATTTCTCACATTTTAGCAAGGATTTTCCTTTTCAGGTAATGTTAAATAATATCAGTGAATGTTGGATATTTCTCATTATGATGTGCACCGTTTTGTTCGGAATTACATTGCTACTCAATAGGAATATCTGAAACTAAATGGCAGATAAAATATACGCTAGAAAACCGAGAGAACGTTACATCTGGATCAAAGGATGAACTCCAAATGTATCATGGAAGATGCTGGAAATTACAGCTCACTCCAAGCAGTGTGCTTACATGCAATGTTGTTGCAGACAGACGTGCCCAAAATGTGATCTTTACCATCGACAGATGTGACCATGTAAATAAATAAAAATTCCAGGAACTTCAAAACCTCATCTGGAGTGCTAAGGTAACTTAAAGGATTTTTTTCCAGTAAAGCTAAGCGTCACATCATGCGAATGTCAGAGCTTTGAGTTGGTTAATAGATAACTGACCAGCTAACTGCAGATTTGCAATGCATGTATGCACATACCTTTAAAATGGAGCTAAATTACTGAAAATTCAGCTAATCTCAATAGCCAACTACAATAGTATTGAGATTGGAAATGCAATCAGTGAGTACGACAGTACTAAGTGTAAAATTAAAATAAGCACATTTAAGAAATAACGCCAAATAAAAACAAAAAAATGTGAAGATTATAAAAATGACGTATTAAGCATTAACCTGCAGCCACATCAAACATTGCACGAGTTATCTGTATTTATAATGCATTTTTATGATACTATCTTGGGAGGTCTTCAGGCATGAAGTGCAATCACAGATGCAGTGCTTGTCAAGCTGGTGTAACCTTGGAAAATGATATGACCTGTAATGCAGGGAAAGCACAAAACTGGTTTCACAGGCAGCTCACGATGTTGTCTCTAAATTATGCTTTTGCCCCTCACTGAACTATTTGCCTATATCCCTGGAGAAATAATTAAGCGTATTTAACCAATTCTTAATGAGGATAAACAAGCCTTTGTTTATAAACTTAAGATGATGAATGCACGCATGGTATTATCCCAGTACTTTTCTACCAACCACTGCTTGGTAAACAAACCCGAAATAGGTTTTGTTTGCCTGAGTTTTAGTGCATGTTCCAAAGAATGAGTTGCCAAAGCAAAAAAAAAGTTTCATCAACATTTATTTTTTTTAAATGCACTGAAGCTAATCAGAACTGTGCATTATTCGCAATAACTTTTCAAGGTCAACCTAACAACAAAAACAGACAGACTAGCTCCACAATCCAGACTTTCCGGAAACTCCAATTCGGTCGACATTGGCACCGCGAAGTTCCCTGCAGACTGAGCTCCACCCCGCCTGCGGATGTAATGAACCAGCGGGCGAGGGACGCCCGTGTCTGCCTGTCTGCCTCATCAGGAAGCAGTTAAGAGGGTGGAGGAATGCACGAAACTAATTTGCCAGGGTCCCATCACGACATACGGCGTAACATTTACGCGTCTGTTTAACGCTGCCACTGAAAGCAATGACAATAAGTCAAGATTCACATTGAATATACTTCCGTGACGCATCTTTAACCATCGTAATCCATCCCTGTCACTTGCTTTCCTAATACGTCTTCGTTTACGAATGGGTATATGCGTTCCCATGTGGATATTACAAGATGTTAGATGATATACTGCTTTGTGGTACATTTATACCGGCATCATGTTCTGTTTCCGGCGTACCACTTGATGCATATCAGAAGTCAACAACCCTATAGGTGAACCTGTGCTGTTGTTGATGTATCTTCATTAATATTGTACAGACCTGCAGCAAATCATCTCCTGTGCAGGTGCTGAGAGGTGGCGGCAGCATGAGGAAGAGGCAAGCATCCAGCATTGAATTGACCATGGATGATGATGATCATCATATGTACAGTAACATCAATTCTTCCATACACACAGATATGGCCCTTCCTCACGAATTCCCTTAATTAATTGTGCAATACACGTTCAATTGCAATCAAAATACATTACAATGCTGATCACAATATCGCCGCAATGCTCATTCAAAAGGTGTGTTGTTGTTTTTATGTTAGTACTCACATCGCTTTTCTTAAACTTTGCTTTCCAGCTTTTCATTGTTGAGCCTGATGGTGTTGTCCGCTTGCTTCAACGGATTTCTCCCCTCCCCCCTCCACCTTAAATAGAAAAATTAAAATAACTTATAAGAAAAATCAGAAGTGAAGGAAAAACCATGACAAATATAATGGGCGGTAATTTTTCCTGAAATCACATCAAATACACATACATACCGAATAAAAAAGATATCCTCCAGAGGGACTCTATATAGCTCCCTTTATTGGCTGTCCTTCTAGTGCAGTAATAAAAACTGGAATGACAAAATTAAATTAGCTATCCGTATAACAAATGAAGGTAGAATACAGTATCGGAATGCAATCCCTTGAATACCAAGCATGTTAAAACAATTAGGGCCATCATATATAACCACTATATTTAAATGCAGTTAATGCCACGATCGAGCGAAATATAATGTCGGTACTTTTACAATTAAAAAAAGTGACAAGAAAAATGCCCCCGTTTTTTGTTAAATCAAATAACCGCAAGACGCTGCTGCGCTTAATTTATGAATACCTGCAAACTCTGGCTATGTTAACAAAAAAATAAAGCCCCCACTCTCACTGCGAGGTAAGAGACGTGCAAACTCTAAAATAAGTTACACGTGTAACCGTAAGAGAAGATTCAATCTCTGCGGGGGTCGTGTTTAAACGCCACATAACGGGTCCAACCCTCCCCAATCATTGGGTTCGTCCACGCAACTAACCCTCAGCCGCCTTCCCATTCCACTCCACGCAATGCAATAAAATCCTCACCAATTAACCCTCCCCCTCTCTACTCCTGACTTACTTTATACCAACCAAACACGCCAAGTTACCAAAGCGTCGCTTTATCTCATTTAAAAAAAAGAAAACGCACGCGTAAAATACACGCAAACTTTCAGAGCGAGGAACAAATCAAATGCTCGCTATGAGATACTTTGAATCGATGATGCTGCCACGCAAAAAAAAAGTTGGTTCGCTCCTTTCGCAAACGCGTTGCGCGACTCCCCAAACCGCTTTGTCCGCTGCGGGACCCCGTAGCCCCTGAGCTGGGTAGGGCATGGAGGGGGGTGGGGGGGTAGCAATAACGTCATACGTTTCGCACAGCGATTTGACGTCATGTAGTGGGCCCGTCTTGCGTTGTTGAGTGGGCGATGTCGTCATGCTATGACGCAACGCGGCGTGAAGGGGAGGGTCAGAGTGCAAGGGTCAAGCGTCGGCGGCGTTGGTTACAGCGAGCGCGCTATCGCTATTGTTACTATTGTTATTTTTGTATTGCTAAGTTTAGTATATTCGCGATTTTTTTTGCAGCCTTATCATGTCCATCAACTACGCGGCCGGCCTCTCGGATTACCCGCATAAGGGAAAATGCGGCCAGGCCGAGGTATGTGGGGGGTGTGCGTGTTGCGAGTTCCGCCATAGTTGCGTACAGGCGCCGTGTGATTGTTGTATAACTGCACTGCTACCGTTATCGAACATAACGTGATGCATCACGACTGGCTTTTTTTTCATAGTCTAGCGTTATCCATAAGCTTGCACGTTTCCACTGCAGTGTTATCGAAGTCCGATGATATACATCACACGGCCACTGCAGTGATACGTAACAACACTAGTGGTAGCAAATACAGCGGTAGCATCATGCATAAGTAAATAGGACTACTTTTAGAAAGCAATACTCTCTATAATCTAGCTCCGTTCTGGGTCTGCAAATGTGTGAATGTATGGTAACAACTTGGCGCCGTACGTAGCCAACCGTGCTCATTGGAAGTGCGGAAATAGGTGATTTAGTGTTTAGTCCATGTGCCTCTGGGCTTCCCAGACCGATATTTAGCTGCATGTGTTTAAGCCAGAAAACTACACCGGGTTTTGACCGTCAGGACCTCATCAGCAGCGCCAGGCTTGTTAAATGAATGGTGCAGGGCATGTGTATAGTATAAAGTAGTACCATGGATAATGTTAAACTATTTTATGGTCCATTAACAGTGCTGCTTCACCATAGCTTTCAACTCGCTATCCATCGTATATCCATCGTATATTCAACTCCAAAACGCTACTTGTACTCCACTCTATCATAACCCAGTAATATCTCTGCCCAACGTAAGTCTATTATTTATAACCTGCACCTCTACCCCGAACCATACTCTACCCAACCATCAGTTTTTTCAAATCATATCTCAATCCTAACCATATTCTACTTACACTCAACCATGCACCAAAGCTAATCTTAAAACTGTACACGTTCGTAAATAAGTCATCGGTAACACCGTCACTCGTCCCAATTAAACTACAGTACCTTTAACCCAACACAATTCCTACTCTACCACGCACCATCTCTAATCAACTTTACCCTTAATCTACCCGGTACCATCTGAATATTTCACCATATGCTGTAGTTGTACTTGCTGAATTCCCTTTAACCGTACCCAGCTTGTTCCTGTACATTTGCACCAGTATTGTCTGTGCTTTTTTTCCCTCTGGTCTCAGGTGAAAATTTGATGTATATCCCATGATGTAAATAGAGAATATATCAACGAACAGCTGCTTTAAATACATGTTTTCATGATATTGATTGATATATAACCCCACCGTTACCATTCACCACTTTGAACTTGCAGAAGATAGATCCCCCGGAGGAGGTGGATCGCAAAGTGCTCGAGCTCGCGGATTTAGTCCGTGCCTCCAAATACATGGTGATACATACAGGCGCTGGTGTCAGCACAGCAGCCGGGATTCCAGACTTCAGGTTGGCACCAACTGCACTTTGCACAGCCCTGAAATGATGCCTGCACACAAGGAAAGAGGAGATATATCTGTCGTGCATCACGAGGCCATTTTCCATGAATCAATACAGGAAAGCATGCCTGTAACACACTCCTTTGAAATTTTGTGGAAACGTTTAGCGCTGTGATAAAGTTGAGGATGCAAAACATGCATAACGCCACATCATCAGCTGGACTTCGTGGGTCACACCTTTAATTTCTGCACTTTGGAGGCAACTATTGTGGATTGTATACAGTTGTGAGACTCCAAACTTGCTGAGCTGAGAGGTGGCTAAGAATCATTATAGAACCAGTGGGTTTGTAAAGCCATCTGCATACCTTTCGAGTGATAACCCAATGTATGTGTTTTCCCAGATATTACAGATTCCCTTCACCTGATTACTAAAAAGAATTGACTAAATATCCCACTAAGACCATTTTTGATCAAATAATAGCAACCTACATGTCCTTTGAATCTGATCATCTCTCCCAGCCAGAAAAAAACTTGTTTTAATCTTATATAGAGCCCTGTCTCTCTCCACCTCTCTTGCATTCTCTGTAATATACAGTATATCACAATTTATATCGGTTTATTGCTTTGTCTCTATTCTGCTGTCCCCTCATCTACCTCTCCCTCTGTATATTTAGTTTCACTCCTCTGTATCTTACTCGCTTCCCCCTATCTCCCTGTTTCTCTTAACCCCGCTCTCCTTTTCCCACCTCTCCCTTTCCCGTTTCAATCTCTCTTGACTCTTCCTAATCCTCCCACTGCTCGTCACTTTTATCCCGCTCTCCTCTTTCCATCTTGCTCTTTCCACGCCGTTTCACACCCCTCTCTCCATCTCTTCCTCTATCGACCTCACCTCCCTCATCTCTCTCTCTTGCTTTTGTGCGAGATATATTATCGGGGTGGAGGGTGGGTGTGGCAGAGGCTTGACATCAGCGTCCACGAAACCGGCTCAACACTGGGATGTGGGTGACATTACGCAGACGTACACGGTGACGTCACTACCGTGTATGCAGGCCAGACAGCCAGCAAGGAATCCAGGCAGGAAGCCAGCGAACAACGTTTTCCTAATTGATAAAAAAATATATTACTCTTAAATTGTCTGCATCGGATTCTGGAAATGTTGTGATACCCAAATTAATTTTGTTTGTCTTATAATTACAGAGGCCCGAATGGAGTATGGACAATGGAGCAGAAGGGGTTAACACCGAAGTTCAATATCACTTTTGAGGATGCACGGCCCACTGCCACCCACATGGCTATGTTGGGGCTGTATAGAGAGGGCCTTCTCAAGCACTTGGTCAGCCAAAATGTCGACGGTTTGCACATCCGCTCTGGCTTTCCAAGGTCTGAAGGACATTGCTCATTCATTGCTTTTAATAATGTGGATATGGGATCAGTTGTGCACACTGCAAGATAATACAAAAAAGTCTTCATTGTGAAATGTTCAGTGCAGTCTAAAGAAGAAATAATGCATGACAGTTTTTGAAATCCTGAAAAAAAATAGAAAAATCCAATTTACTAGTTTTTTTATGTATCAACACTCGCATTGGTTTTTGAAGGGGTTTTAAAAATTCAAAAGTCATGCATTGCTTATATATTTTATATACTGCTAAATAACAAAACATTAAGATATTCCCTTGATAAGATTTTAAATAATTGGTTATTATCCGTATTGGTTCATCGTCCATAGTTGATGGGTCGCATTTATTTTTTTGTTCTAGTTAATGAGAAAGCAGGCACTGCTCAGATGAATGCTTAATTGTAGACCTGCATAATACATGAAAATATTGATTATTTTAAACATTCAATTACCAACCTGCACATCCTTTGGATGTGATCATCTGTCCATCCCAGTCAGCCAGCAAAAATTGTCTCTATATAGAAGCCTGTCTCCACCTTTCTCTTGCCTTTGTACTGTATATCCCCATTGATGTCGATTTCTTGCTTTATTCCTCTTTCGTTGTCCCCTCCCTCTATATGCCTATCGTACCTCCACTGTATCTCCCTGTTTCTTCTCCCACCTCTCATCCTTGCTCTCCTTTTTCCTTCCTCTCCCTGTCCCATCTCAATCTCTTACCTCTCCCTAATCCTCCCATTGCATGTCACTGACCCTGCCTCTCTTTTTTCCCATTTTGCTCTCTCTGTTCCTTTCCATCTCTTCCCCCTCTATGCACCCGCTGTCTCCTCTCATATTTGCGTGGGGTGCACCATAGGGTCGGACGGAGGGTAGGGAGGAGGTGTGATATTAGTGCGATGCACTAACACGGCTCAACGCTGTGGGATGCAGGTGATGTCATTTGGCAGATGTGCACGGTGATGTCACTACCGAGCAGTTGGCGTGCCAGCCAGCAAAACAGGAATCCAACAGGCAGCCATTAATCCAGCCAGAATATCGAATGATATGAAAAGGCATACTATTTTGCAGAGGCAACCTTTGCAATAATTTCTGGCACTGAAATTTGTATTTATTGCACTGCCTAAGATATTAAATAAGGTATAGAACACCTTTTTTTTGGCATCCATATGCTGTATTGCTTTGCTTACATTTTTTTTTATTGATTTCTGTTGAGTTTGATTATTGAAATCATAACTTTAAATGTAACAATTTTCAGGGACAAGTTATCTGAACTGCATGGGAACATGTTCATTGAAGAATGTGAAAGATGTGGAAAGTAAGTAGACATTTTTAATATAACAGCTTTTTGCTTAGAGACACATTACATTTTGACACGCAGCTTTACAAAAAATATATTTTTGACTAATTCAAAAGTCATCCTGGCCTTTTAAAGATGTGAAGCTGCTTGTCAACAGGTGTGAATTAATTTGTCTAAAGCATGCCATTGGTGTTCATGTGAATTTTTATGTTATTAACTTTGGTATTACCTCCTTCTAGGCAGTATGTTCGAGATCATACTGTGGGCACTATGGGCCTCAAGTACACTGGGAAGATTTGTGATGTTGTTAAAGCTAGGGGTCTCAGGGGATGCAGGTAACTTTTTTGCACAGCTTATTCTACATATCCTTTTTTTCTTGTATTTATGTGAACTTGGAGAGTATTGTATGTATGACTCATATTTTTCTATGTACATTGTGTTTCAGAGGAAAGCTTAAAGACACCATATTGGATTGGGAAGATTCTCTGCCTGAGCGAGATTTAACCTTGGCTGAAAAAGCTTGCAGGTGACGATAAAACTAAATTCTTAAATTCACGAAAACAGATAAGGATACTGGAAGCATTTGTTCGGACGGTTGGTGTATAACCGTGTTGCACTGTCGGAAAACATTGCAAAAACCACTCGCGGTAAATGTGAAAGCAAACCTTTTGTCATGGATTTAGATTGCGTGTATGTTTAGCATTAAATATTTCACCATTTGTGCTCTTTTCATCAGAAATGCAGACTTGACGATAACACTAGGTACAACATTGCAGATTAAGCCAAGCGGTAGCTTGCCTTTGTTGACGAAGCGGAATGGAGGCAAACTGGTTATCGTAAATCTGCAGCCCACCCAGCTGGTAAGAAATATTCCTCACTCTTAAAATAATTGAAAATGCTGAAAAATGTTTTCACCAGTCTATGTTTTGATGGTATAACTTTGTGGATACTATCCTGCTGTTATGTCGACACAATTTTCAGGATAATTTGCTTCTAATGGACAAATGTCTGTATTGGACTAGTTACCTGTGTAGGTGAGCAACTATAGGTGGATATTTAAAATGCATGTATTTGCAACTAGTCTCACTTTCACTGCAGTGCTTGCAATTTATAAAATGATCATAATGGTATTGTCCATTAAAAGTGAACTTCACTCAATTTCCCATGCTTCTCTCAAACTCTTTACATGACAGGATAAACAAGCCGACCTCCGCATCTACGGCTACGTGGACGATGTCGTGACCAAGCTCATGGGACACCTGGGGGTCATGGTGCCAACGTGGGATGGTCCCACCGTAGCAGAGAGCTCATTCAGCCGGCCGCACAGCACAGCTACCAACACAAAAATGGAGGCAACAGATTCGGCTGTAAATTGTAAACGAGAGCGTGCGAGCGAGACCGTGAACTGTGCTGCTAATTTAAAAAGAGAAAATCATGGCGATTTTGTAGAGGCCAAAAAAAAAATTGCAAAAAAGGAAACAAATATGTCAACATCATAACATCCTTTTTTTTTAAATGTACATGAAAGCTGACGTTTACTTTATTTGTACAAGTGAAGTCTTCGCTGCGTGTTTTTTTTTTTTCCTTTGAAAATGTCCTCAATGCAGAACTATGGTTGTGATCCTGGTTTTTATATCGAGAAAAGAACACGTTCATTTGTAACCATATTTTTGCGTGGCGTTGTGGACGTATTAAAACACTGCCAGAATGGACGCATACCCATTTTACAGCTTTCTATAAAAAAAGAGATATCCAGGAATTTAAAGAGAATAAGTTAAATGTATTTTAAGAAATCTAAAATGTTTAACTGCAGTGTTATCAGAGACCAAAGCAATACAGTATATAATGAAGTGCTATACAATATTGCTGCCATTCATTTGGCTTATCCCAACTGCCAGGTGTAATCATTCAGAAATGGCATAACATTTATTCTCAATGTCCAAATAAAATAGAACTCATACAACCTTGATCAAACTTTTACTTTTGTTCACTTAAGAAAAGGATGCCCAGATAATAGATCGTGGCTGTGGCACAGATACATTGTTATGTTTTTTTTTAATACTTGGTATTGTCACCGTAGGAATCCTTTTATTATGGTCTTTTTGTATTTTTTAATGAGAAACTTTTTCGCCTAAAAAAATCACGACTTGGCCAGGATTCATATTCTTGGTTCTTTCGGTAAAGTCACGTAGAAGGGAAACAAAATAATAAAAAAATATATATAAAACAATAAAATTCTCGCGACGTTTTGACTGCAACACAAACAATCATCAGGTGTGAAAACTACGACAAGAAAATTTGAAAAAAGTGGCGGTTTTTTTAACGGTAGCACCACGGAGAGCGATTTGACAGTTTGTTCAGATGGACGAGTCCATCTATGTTCGGAAAAGAGGAGGGGGGAGACGAAAAATAATGGATGCGGTCTGAAAATCACCTTAAGCGTGATCAATCAATTAAGACCCGAAATGGTTTATCAAATCCTTCCAATGATTGCTAAGCCAGAATCCATCTTCTCGATTGAAATTGTCTCTGTGTTTGTATATGTGGATAGCCTCATGAACGAATCTCTCATGGTAGCCAGATGGCTTGCAAATAACCTCTGTCTTGGAGAAGTCAATGTCATGTGAACCTACTGAATTATAACAGTGATCTGCCACGCCGAGGTGTTGGTCCTATCGTGTTTCAGGTCTGCTTTGTGTTCACGAAAGTGGTCCGAGACATGTCGTTTGGTTTCTCAAATGAACTACTACCACAGAGGCAACTTAGTTTCTAGATGCCAGGGTACTGCAAGTCCGGAATCACATCTTTTACAGACGGAACCAGATCAGGGATATTATGTAATGTGCTTTAAATCAAAATTTGGCCAGGATGTTTGTGAAGGTGGTCCTCCTTTACCGCCTTCGTGTACCTACAAGGGTTGCTTGGCCTGCCAACAAGCAAGATGGGTACAGTCTCATCTATACAGGGTACATAAACCTTTTTTTAACACTTCTGAGAATTTGCAACAATACCACAAGAAATGTGTCTCTGGGCTCTGGAGACCACCTGGAGAAGATTCCAGGCATGTGTTAGTGATGGTGAACAAGTGGAGACTGACTTCTTGAAGTGAGTAACATTTGTTATCTTGTTACAGTGTATTCTTTTTTTCCATTAAAAACGATAGTCCCTTATAAATGTATAAAAAAATTAAGCACCCTGTATATTCTGTCAGTTATGCATTGTTTTCGCTTTATAAAACCACCCATAGCCATACTTATGCGTGAATATGAGACGTTGAGCATTCCATCAACCCTATTGTATGGTGCCGTTCGATGTTCCGACATCGCAGACAGTACCGTGTGGGTGGCTGTGTAATACCAGCCCTAGCGGGGACAGCACCGTGTGGGTGGCTGTGTAGTACCAGCCCTAGTGGGGCTTGGTGAGCACTGGGATAGTGCGGGCACCACGCACAGCGTGTGGTGGGGGCTCCCACGAGGGGCAGTGAGTAAACCGTGAGCCCAGGGGCAGGGTTGCCCTGGGCCATGGCACTCTGGTTGACCCCGTAGACACGTGATCCGGAGTGTCCACACGGGGCCCCAGGTGGGGGGGGGGGGCTCGTGGGTGATCACGTGTCCAGCGAGAGCTCTTGCGAAGGATCGAGAGGGAACGAGAATGCTCGAGAAGGCGGGCGGGGCCGAGGGCGGAGCGGCCCCGACCATAAGGGGACATAAGGCGGGTCCCTGAGAGGGACCGGGGTCACTGCATTCTACAAGCTGGAAGCTCAACACCTACAAGCTGGAAGCTCAACATCTCAAAGCGGAAAGCTCTTCATCTTACGAGGCAACCACGTGGTCGGAGACCCGAGTGAGGGTCCGACCCTTCGTAACAGTAACTCTGTATAGTGGAGTTAGCTGGGTGGTCACCACCCTAGGTTGTATCTGGTAAAGGGGCAGTTACCCCTTTGGTAAAGGGGCAGTTACCCCTTTGTGTTACGGTGTTAGAAATAAATGTGTTGCCTCTAAAAGGAACGTCTGCGACTCAGTTGGACTCACTACCATGAAGGAATAACCTATTTCAGTGGTGACAATTGCGATGCAGGTGGTATATAACATTGACACTGTCGCCTGAAATGTACCGAAATGGATTTAGTACAAAAACTGTTAAAAGTAGCAACAAGATCTTTCCTGTTGGGACATGTCAACTTCCTATGAGGCCTTTAGTGGAGACATACATGATGAGGGAAGGTGTAATGACTTCAGTTATATTACCAGCCATGTCCAACATCGCTGGCAAGTGATATCTGAACTGGCCTGCGCACCGCTCCGCTAACCCTCCACTGGCGAGGTAAAGTATGAAAAAAAACAATCGACAAGGCGTGAGGATGACTGCGTTCAGCAGTGGATTTACAAAAGGCTGTAACTCAATATGATCTTCATATTACTCCCAGCGAATCCGATGTATGGAATACAAATAGGCACAACATTCCTATTTGGAAAGCGTTTTTTCCATAGCACATTTACTTTGATTTATTGTTTGACCTCTTACATGTGACCGCATTGTATAACTGCTCCTTCCCAAATTATATAGAGATTGAAAAATAATTTCCCACACCTTGGTTGCATATGAATCCTGTTTTTTTTCAAAATTTTCTGCCAAAAATGCTGAAATTTGCTCTTGATTCATCGTTAATACTGATTGAGGAAAATGTTGTGTCTTAGCAATGATATCCATTTTTATCATAATGTATTCGACGTATGATAGCAAATGTATTTTTATCATGTCATTAGAAAAAAAAGTATGGCTGGTTGTTGCGTGGTGGAGAAGTCGCAGCGAACATCTGCGTGATGACGTCACCGTCACCCAGGGTCCGTGCGTGCTGACGTCCTTCCCCTCCCTTCCCACTCACCCTCCACCCCGGTCGTGGATCCCGCACAAAAGTATGGGCAATGCTCATCAGTGAAAATAAATATAAATTTGGTAGTAAAAAAAGTTTTTTAACGCATGCACTTTTATTTGCACTCAAAAGTAGAAAATTTATTGTTTTGACCCAGAATTTATCAAATTTTTTGTGCTCAATAAAAGTGGGTGGCTTGCATAAACAAACATCAAAAGGAAGCCGCCAATTTTTATTAAGCGCATCAAATTTGATCAATTCTGGGGTCAAAATGATTCATTTTCTACTTTTGAGTGCAAATAAAAGTGTGTGCATTGGTAAACTAGTTTATACCTTTTTTGTCGATAGTATTACTTTTGACTTAAGCTTTTGTGACTGCAGGAATTCATACTCTTTGGGTCTTTTGGTAAAGTCACGTAGATTGAAAAAACTAAGCTGTGCCTGCGGCAGTAGTTACATTGGGGAAACTATCGACATGTCTCAGACCGTGTTCGCGAACACAAGGCGGATCTGAAACACGGTAGGACCAACACCTCTGCCGTGGCTGATCATTGTTTTAACACTGTGAGCACACATGTAATTGATTTCTCCAAGACGAAGGTACTTTGCAAACCCACTGGCTATCAACAAAGATTTGTTCATGAAGCCATCCAGATATATAAACACAGACACAATTTCAAGCGAGAAGATGGGTACAAGCTGAGCAATCATTGGAAGGACGTTATTAACCAGGTAAAGTCACAACTAGCTGTGATGCTTCCATCCTACCTGCCTATGTTAGCAGTTCTTTACATTAGCAGTTCTGATTTAAAGCTTTCGGCGACTGCAGTAATTCATATTCTTAGCTCTTTCGGTAAAGTCACGTTGAAGGGAAACAATAAAATAATAAAATATATATAAAACAATAACATTTTTCACGACGTTTCGACCATAACACAAACGGTCGTCATCAGGTGTGTCGGTTTGCATTAATTTATTTATTTTAAAACGGTGTATTTATTTGTTAAAGAAAACGTCAGCGCCACACGCAGCGATTTGGCAGTTTATTTAGAAGGACGAGTCCATCTATGTTCTGAAAAGAGGAGGGGGGAGACGAAAAATGAATGTATGCTGTCTGAAAGCCACTGTAAGCATGAGCAATCAATTAAGACCTGAAATGGTTAATCAAATCTTTCCAATGATTGCTAAGCCAGAATCCATCTTCTCGGTTGAAATAGTCTCTATGCTTGTATATGTGGATAGCCTCATGAATGAATCTCTCATGGTAGCCAGATGGCTTACAAAGAACCTCTGTCTTGGAAAAGTCAATGTCATGTGAGCCTACTGAATTAGAACAATGATCTGCCACGGCCGAGGTGTTGGTCCTACCGTGTTTAAGGTCTGCTTTGTGTTCACGAATGCGGTCCGAGACATGGCGTTTGGTTTCTCCAATGTAACTACTACCACAGAGGCAACTTAGTTTGTAGACACCAGGGTACTGTATGTCCGGAATCACATCTTTTACAGACGGAACCAGATCACGGATTTTATGTAATGTGTTGAAACGGACCTGGATCTTGTGTTTATTCAAGATTGTAAAGATCTTTTTTGTGATCCCCGCAATGTAGGGTAAAGTGATGGTTTTGAAAGGCTCCTCAAGAGGGTCCTTCTTCATGGTTTGAGTGATAGCTTTGCAGATTGTATAGTCGGAGTAACCATTAGCCTTAAGAGCTTGGTGTACGTGCTTGAGTTCACTACCTATGTGTTCCTGGTCAGATATGCATTGGGCTCTATGATACAGAGTCTTGATGAGAGAATTCTTCTGTGATGGATGATGGTGGGAATCCGGTTTCAGATAAGCATCCGTATGGGTAGCTTTCCTGTAGACAGAGTGGCTCATTGAACCATCAGGTCTCTTTTTAATTAGGACATCCAAAAAAGGTAGCTTGCCATCTTTTTCAACTTCCATGGTAAATCTGATGGCTGGGTGTATGGAATTGATGTGGTCGAAGAATTGGTCTAGAGCACGCCGGCCATGTGCCCAGATGACAAAAGTGTCATCCACGTACCTCTTCCATAAGGTTGGGCGCAGAGTGGCAGTCTGGATGGCGTCAGTC